GGAAAGACAGCGATGTGAGTAGCGGCACTTTCAAAGGATTCTGAATGACCACATTGTCACTCCGACATGAGAGACTAAATATCATATCTAGGTATGTTTGCTTCTCGAAGCAGTTGCAAAACATGCAGACTCCCCGATGACGGATGACGAACAAAACCCGAAAATCTCGTGGAAGCAAGTCGCCGAGTATATCTGGAAGAACGGAGGTTCGTATCAATTCGGAAACGCGACCTGCAAAAAGAAATGGGCGGAGATCCGCGGACGAGGTTCGGTTATCCAAACATCTCCCTCTATGAGTCGATAGCAGAATTACCTTGTACGACGAAGCATTTTTTAAATTAGAAACGCTCGGTTACTACGATATCAGCAGGGGATGATATCAGTGAGCCATGTGGAGACAAAACAACCAAGTGTATCCGCGTAGTTGAGTACGATTCGTTTTCAAACTAGAAAAATCATGCCATTTGAAGATGATCAGGTCGTCTTGTATCTATAAGGGGAAATCAGAAAATCTATAAACTATTGAAGGAAAATATTTGCGACAAACGGCAATTTCACATTGCCGCAGGGAACTGAACCTCATTGCGGGGTACTGCAATTGTTGTAAGAATGCGATGAAGGAGAGCGGGATCATCTCTCAGAGCATTCCACTCCGATTCCGTTTTTACCAACAGCGTCCCGGCCAAAATGGTTCCATTTGGCTTGACAAGACCCTCCTCTAGGACACTTGCTTCGAGCTCGGGATGAAGGGGAATCCTTGCATGCTCGCTCAGACGTGGACAGAGCACCATGGCGGTTGCTGTCATGGCCAAGTTATAGCTGATGACACTTGGTCCGCGCGCCTGTAAAACCGCGGGCTGCTCGTTGTTGAAAGGTTCGGACTGGGACTTTTGGGCGGCATGAGTCGCGTAGGTGTATAGTGATATGTAGGCCCGATGCAAGTCATCCGCAGAAGGGTTGGGCGCGAGAGGCAAGCCGTAGCACGCAAAGGGCAGCGGTAGCAGCACTGGACGGTCGATGTTTGTGCCTTTGAATGCGTGTGCCATCCGGTCGACCAGCGGAGTCCAGCCGAGATCACCATCAAGCGGGCTCATGTCTTCGACTGGGATAAACTGTATATGTCTGTGGGGCTGACTGGCGCCGCTGTGTTCCCCCGAGTTGAAAAATGCAAACAGGCGTCTCCGGGCGGGCTGCTCTGGCGAATCCTCCCATGATCGCAGGCAATCAAAGGCAATGCCCAGATCCTCCTTGTCCAACAGATGGTCCTGTGGCTGGAAATCCTTTGTCGCCAAGATAAAATGATTAGGGATGATGGGGAACTTATTCAGGACCAGAATATGAGAGGGCTGTGAAGGCGGGATTTCAGCAATTAAGAGGTCGGAGAGAGGGTTTGCAAAAGGATCCGTCCGGGATGCCGCTCCATCGACTTTGGGAGACGGCGCAGCGGACCGGGTTGGCTTTTTGGCCAAGGCGCGGCAAAATCGCAGTTGGAACTGTCGAAATGTTAGATGATAGATATTGTTGAATAGAAGGGAAGTTTACTGGAATATTGGAGAGGCGGATTGTGGCTAATTCTGTCTCTGTGAAGAGAAGCGCCCCGGATTGTCTTGCTGCGGCGAAGCGCGCGGAGACGAGTGAGCGGAGGGAGTCTGGGAGACCCAGAAACGGCTTTGTCGCCATTGGCAGGACCAGAGCGGATAATAAGTTTCAAAGGATTCAGTCAGTTGAGCTAAAATGATGATGATGATAATAATAGAAATGCCGTTTGTGTTCTACAAAGACGCAAGTGGAGATTGCAACTGTCACAGCTCTCCCGGAAACTCAGTCGGAGCAGCAGGGCTGGGATTGCGAAGTTGGCGACCGAACGTCATGACTGCGGATCGAGGGCAGTTCATACACCGACCAGCCTGGGACTGTTTGGCAGCAGACGGCGGGAGAAGCGTGCAGAGAAGCGCACCAAAGAGCGGTAAACCAGGGTGAGGTAGGATTGCCGGCGTGGCTGTTGCGCGGTCGAAGTAACGATCAGATACCACTCATAGGTACAACGTGGAATCTGGCTCCAGTCGCCCAAGCTCCCAAGTGCCGGACTGCTTCTCTGGACCCTGCATCGATCCCAGGAGCTATCAGGGTCAAGGACTCGAGATGCTCACTCTCTGTGAATTAATTATGATCAACTAACTAGTTAGTTTTATTGTTGTCGCGAGTCCACTGTAAGGCTCAGTGTGAATTAAGGTTGGAGGTGTTTCGCCACCAGTGTCTAATAAATTAACCAAAAAAAAAAAAAAAAAAAAAAAAAAACAAAAACAAAAGGAAAAAAAGGAAAAAAAGGGAACAAGAGAGCAACTCTCGACAGTGCTTGTGCATAATAGACTCAAGAGTCAGAATAACTAATTCTATCCATGAAGAACGGACAGACTGTGCAGCATCCCAGAGTGGGTTGTGGCACCAGGCTGTGAATTTCACCAGATTGTTTTATTTCTTTTCCCATCGCAGCCAATGAAGGGCCCAGGCGCAGACACTATGCCCCTCTGATTCTCCGAGTGTGCTTTGCTGCACAAGGCAATAATCCGACATGAGGGCTCGGGGGTCCCGAAGAACAGGTGGGCCGCCTGGGACGGTTCGTATTGCTGGTGGTCAATTTCCCCTTTGAAGCACCAAGCGCGCCGGCGGCCGGCGGACCACGACGACGTGATTTGCGCAGAGCGAGATGACATCAAGGAATGAGTAATGCAGTGCAGGATTCCGCATCAGATCACGGACAAGGCGAGGATCGGAATGCAGATGCATCTGCTGCTCAGGCTTGACCGACTCGCGGGTCAGGGCCCAAGGAGCGATAGGGCTGACACACACCAATCAGCGCGCTGCCCGCAAGCTCAGCAGGGTGGTGTGGATGCGTTTTAGCGTTGTTTGGCTCGCTCAGAGCAATCGGTGAGCAGCAGAACAGCCAGGCTGCCAGACCAGACACGCACTGTGAAGCACCACAACACACACCTCCGTCTCGACCGAAAA